TAGAGTGTCAAAGTTAACAAGCGCTTGCTGCAAAACTATGTATAATGTAACAACAATAAAAATTGAATTTGGTAGGTTTTTTCAAGAACTTTCCGTATGTGTTTTTATAAATATGATCGCACGTGTGCTTTTTTATGAAAATTCAATGAATATTGTCAAGCCGACCATTTGTGCCGCAAAACCGAGGGGAGGGGATGAATTATAGAAATTGAAATCGCGCGTTTTAAAAAAAAGCGCGCGCGCTTCGGCGTTCAATATCTCGGCTTCTATGGCTCCGATTTTGATGATTTTTTTTTTAATCGATAAAGCAAAATGAGAGGAATTCAATTATCAAGATTTCATTATTATAAAGCCCTTTTCTGTCTATTACGACTACTTAAAATTTCTCACATTTGTTATACTGTATATTCATGTAAATAATAATATCGATGGTAGGATATAGGAACATAATCCACTGTTAATAGGTATTAGTTTTAATAATTACGTGGTAATAATGTTTAAATAAAATCTTGAAATTTTTATTTAATATGTAATTTATTTATTGTATGCATAGAATATAGAAAAAGATAGATGCAAATAATTATTTATTTATGTTTATAAAACGTGTTTATTATATTTTCATTATCATCATATTATTAAAGTTTTTCACTTTTTACATCATTGCTGTTTTCAGTTATATCAGCATTGGAATAGGTACCGTTTTCCATTATTTTCAAATCAGTGTTTAACTAATTGTAAGTAGGTACCACTGTCAGATTATCAGCAAATGATGATTTATGGTTGGTTATGGTTGGTTAATTTGATTTTTTATATTTGCTAGCAATTTCATAGCCATCCTCGCAAGAAATTGGATCATTTTATTTATCACAAAAACTCAAAACAGAAAAATTAAAAGATAGGTATATGGAGATGTAATATGGATAGATATAGAGTAAATTTTTACAATAGATTTTGATTAAATATACAAGGTGTCTAATTTAGAAAAATCAAGTTTTGGTGGTTCGGTCAATCAAATGCGACAATAAAAATGAAATTGAAATAGGTCGAAGACCATTACATCTTTAGACATGAATATAGGGAAGCTTTATAAAATTCCTCTAACATTACGCGTAGAATCCAAATATGCAAAAATATATAGGATTTTCCATTTATAATAAGCAAATAGGTGGCGACTACCGGCATAACCGGAAGTACTACAACAATGGCATTATTTTATTTAAACTCTTTTTAAATAAAACCTCCAAAACCAGCAGGTCCCAAATTTTCAAAATTCAAATCGAAGTAGTCTCCGAAATATTCTAATAGGCCGTCACCGTATGACAGCTTGTAGAAGAAAAATTTGGGAGAGAAAACAGCAACTATGCTGTAAAAAAGCGGAATACTTTAATAATGCGATGATACGTTTCATAAATATCAAATAAATAAATTACATATTAAATAAAAAATTCAAGGTTTTAAACATTATTACGAATTATTAAAACTAATAACTATTAACAATGGACTATGTATATCTACCATCGATATTATTATTTACATGAATATACAACAACAATGAAATATGTGAAATTTTAAGTAGTCATAATAGGCTGATAGGGCTTTATAATATTTTAATGAAATCTTGATAATTGAATTCCTCTCATTATGATATGTTGATTTTTAAAAAATCATAAAAATCGGAGCCGTAGAAGCCGAGATATTGAACGCCGAAGAGGGCACGCTCTTTTTGAACGCGCAATTTCAATTTCTATCATTCATCCCCTCCCTCCGGTTTTTCGGCTGAAATGGTCGGTTTGGCGATATTCATTGAATTTTCATAAAAAAGGCACACGTGTGATAATATTTATAAAAGCACATATGAAAAGTACTTAAAAAACCTACCAAATTCATATTTTGCTGTTGTTACATTATGCACAGTTTTGCAGCTAACGCTTGTTGACTTTGACACTCGATATCTCAGAACTTATACGACGAATTTGAACGTTCTTTTTTTCAAGTTAAGCGTCTTTCCGAGAACTGTTTTTTGGTACTTTGGTATATTTTCCATCCCGCAAAGCCGCTTCACGAAAGTAATTGTTTATAAAGTCAAAATTTTTCTAACTTTTAAATTCGCTCCAAAAATTATTCAAAAAAAGAAAATTGATATTCCAACGATTCTATATCCAGGCATCCAAGTAAGTGTAAAAAAAATCAGCGCAGATTAAAATGCCTAACTTTAACCCCAGCACTCACGTAAAAAAATAACGACATTTCGCGCTGAAATTTAGTAACAAATTGTCTCATACCAATACTATCAGGCCGATTTGGATCGGGTCTTGGAATTTCGTTTTATAATCGTTTAAAGTACTTACATCTACATTTATAGTAGAATTGGACAATTTCTTGCCTGTCAGTTTGACACTTCCAAATTACCTCGATTTTCATCACTTTCTTACGTTGTTTTGGCTATTTAGCAACAAAAATATGATATGCGTAGGTATCAAAACAATTCTATCTTGTAGCAAATTTCATAACAAACAAATTCACCAGTGATAGTTTTTTCTGTAAACTGCATATTTAAGAAGTTATGTTGGAAAATGTTAGAAAAAACACGTAATTTTTGAGTATTTTTGCAGTTTTTAATTTTTTCTGCAAATAGCACAACTTTTTTTCTTGGCGCAACCTTATATTTTCATTGTATATATTATTTTCGATCGATTTTTAATAATATCCAAGTTACGTCAAGCAACAGCCATATCTCTAAGGTTTTGAGCTTAATTCTCTTGGACTAATAGGAGTTGGGAGTCGGAAGAGTCGGCTCCCAGTTTCGATTCTCAACTTTGAAATGAGTCATTTGATTAGAAACATCAAAATGAATCGTTTTGCCCATCACTACTGACTACGATAGAATAAAATAACATTATGCACGCTAGGGTGCGCTAGGTTTACATAGAATATAGGGTTGCCTACGAGTAGGACAGTTCACACAAAATAAAGAAATGTTTAGTATGTAGTAACAATCTTGTTTAGTTTAGTGTGTATTTAAATTTTACATGTTTTATTGTCAATTCGCGTGCGACAAGTATGATTACCGCACGCAAATAAATAGCTATTTACTGACCTAAAAAAACAGAAACAGAAAGATAGGACTTATCCCGCATGGTAATAATAGTAGGTAATTATTATTACATATCAAGGTGGAAAATGTTTCATTCTTGTCGAGGGGAAAGGATGAACTATGTTTGTATACTATTTTATTTATGGCATTAAAAATGTCAAACAGACAAACTTAAATTAGTTGCATTTGTAATCAAAAAAAGTGTTTTCGAAGACAATGAGCGATTCAGAAGAAATTATTTGTACTCCTCAAATGAGAGAAGCCGCTGAAAGTTTGGAAAAATATTTGTAACCTAAGAAGAATCGTACAAGGTTTTTTGAAATAAACATTTTCATTATTCAATGAATATTGACATTTACCTGGGTTAAAAGTGGCATTTGTCTGAGTGGAAAGTAATCACTTTCCATCTGGATATATCTCAAAGCCAGAAATATGTATCTTTCAAACTTACTGTAAGTTTGAAATATCAACATTACATATGTGGTTGTAAATAAAAATATTAATTTTAAAAAGTGACATTTAAATGACAGTTATTTATGTCCACTTAATAAACGGAATAAAAATCGTTTCGCTCCTGAACCCTAATATTTCACTGCATTTGTAATAAAAAATAATATGTGCAATTCGTGCGGTTGTCTATTACCCACTTGAGCAGATGAGCGCACGAACGAAGTGAGTTCACTCTCGTGGGCAATAGACAACTTGCCGCACAATATACTATTTTCTTCAATCTTCACAAAACTATGACATTTTTTGACTGTCAGTCTCGAAGGTTGACATTTTCCTTACTGAGAAAAAAAAATGGTATCTTAGCAACAAAAGTATTCACTTTTAATCCTAGGAGCTAAAGTTGACACTTTTAATCCTTAGATTAAAAGTGTTAATCAAGTTTTAATTTATAAAAATTTATTCAACAATATTTACAATAATTTTTGTTTATCCACCACATTGATACACAGTTTGAACAAGTATTAAAATTAAATAAACCACTGGAACTACCACTACTCATTCTTGGAGCAATTCTGAAAGCAGTGGCAACGGTGCTGTACTCTTTCCAGTTGTACAGTTTAAAAAAAAATTCCACTTCCTGCGAGACGGCATTGATTTTACGAATACAGAACACCATTCGATAACACTTTCTACTAACATATCTGAGAAGTAATCGACGTTATACCAATCCGAGTGCACGTAAAGTAAAATATTCTCGATAAAAACTTAAATAATTGTCTCCTAACACAGTAAAATAACTTAGTCTTTTGATTTTGGTATTGGGAATTTTTGTAATTAAGGTGGATTTCACATCTTCAACATTATCAATTATTAAATTGCATCCGCCCGCAACTTCCAATATTAGGACGACCTATAAAGAAGCCTTTTAAAAATGTTGTTCTTTTATTTTTAAAACGTTTGTTTACCTTCACCATTAAATATAAATTATCAGGTGCTCTATTCAAAAAGCAATCAACTTGCTCCTTTGTAAATACTCGCGATTTTTTGGTAACTTCAAATATTTGCTTATATCAATCCGCTTCTTTATATCCAACCTTGACCGCAACATTGAATACCGTGACGGCTTCATTTTATTTGCTAAGTTTGAAAAATATACCATCAATACACCTTCTGAATACAACTTCATGTTTTTTTCTTTGCACCAATCCATAAAAAGTTGGTAGACACATTCATAAATTTCTCGATATTTCTTTGGGAGAATATTCAAAGAAACCTCTTTCGCACACTCCAGTATCTCCTCAGGTATAACTAAATCTGCATTAGATTCCATTTTACATAGTTTTCAGCAAATTGAACCACAAACATTCTCCCTATCGCATACTAATAAGTAATTCATAACTCGTTTGTTGGACGATACATTATTAGTTTTTAATTATATTTTATATTTTTAGCCATAAAATGTAATAAGCTACCTCAAACAAAGTTTGGAAAAACAACGCCAAATTCGTGCAATTTTGGAAGGCAAGAGTTTGGAAAGATGTGTATAATAACATGTAACGATGGATTTAAAATTATAGGTCCATCAGAAAAACGATGTATGAGTCATGGTACATGGAATAGTAAATTTGAGGATACTTATTGTATAGGTAATAAGTTTTATAATTAATTATTTACATTTTTATGAGTTTATAGGTGCTAACACATTGTATGTAGATAATATGCCTTGCTTTTATAAAAAAATCCACACCTACATATTTTTTGGGATATCGATAGATTGTTTTAATATCCCATTCAGTTTTGCTGCCACAGTAGTACAAAGTTTAACAGTTGTTAGATATTTTAATGTTTTAATGAAACTAATATAGGTATCTAATTGTTTTATTTGTTAAAATTCATACAACAAAACATTGTATACTACTGAATAACGCAAATTATTCATTTTTTCAAATAGGTAACGGCCAACAGTAGAAAGTGTCTATAGGACAGTTTACATATCACAAATTCACAAAGCATTCAATTTTTAACTGTTATTATACAAAGTTGAATGGTGGCATATTTATACGCAGACTACCTTTCACTTCTAGAAATACATATCATAAGATTTTATCTCCATTGCCGTCGTGAAAACTGATTTTTTAAAACCTTTTGCGTAATCTCATATTCCGCTGCTAAACAGGCTGTAGTGTTACAAATTTAGTTTCCACTGAAATTTTACTCTTTACTATTATGTTAGTTTCACACAGTTGGTTTAAAAAACGAAGCATTGATAAGCACTCACATATAAGCGATTTATAGATTGACTATTTATATCACTTTAAAAAGGTAATAATTTCAGATTAATATTCCGTGAAACACGTTCCAATATTCCTAAATAACTGACCCATGCTTAAAGTTAACACTGCGTAACATAAATTTTAAGTATAAAATGTACATATAAAAAATCTGCCATTTCTTAGAAATTCTTCTCAAAAAAGTAGCATACATTCGAGAAAACCGTGTAACAATAAAATAAAATTCACTACCTAATATTTTTTTAATGTGCCTTCTAAATCTAGCATTTTCAGTAAACTTTTTTAATCGGAATGCACGTGTATTTTGTTTTATTTGGTGTCTATATTTTCCTTCATATAATTATAATAGGGTACTTGAATTGAAACTCCTTAATTGTATCGGAAAAGCGCAGCATAGTAGACGGATATTAGTGGCGGTGGTGGCAGGCAGGCGCCACGGAGGGGAGCGACGCGACGGGAGCGATCATCCCCCATCAAATCATCCGAAAGAATTTTTTTTGTAGAAATGAAACAAAAAAACCCACCACAAAAATAAATCCCAACAGCTCCATACCCCACAATATAATACTTTTACTTGTTGTTTGTTACCTGATTAAAAATGTTTATCCACGACTATTGTATAATGTACCCATTATACGTCTGTTTGCTCGACCTTAATAATACCCATTAATCACGGCAGTGATTAATGAGTCATTAATCACATACTGTCAGATGCTTCCTTAATTTAGCTATAATATTATATTGTTCTGCTACAAACAATCCGTTTTTAAAATTTTATTGTGTAAACCACTAAATATTTTCAATTCAGTGCTGTACATATAAAAAAAAAAAATTAAATAAGTGAATTTTCCTAGACCGGATTCGAACCCGGGACCCGCGGTTGGAAGGGAAAGAGCATCTACACTGAGCCATCAGCGACTTCATTTATGCGAGTCGTATATCTGTTTCTTAACATACCATGTTTTTCGAAACATTTCAAAAAAAACTTCAACAAAAATATTTATTAGTCGTGGATAAAGTATAGTATTCTACTCCCGTATAATGGGTATTATTATAATACCCATCATTATACGCTCGTTGAATAATATACTATTATCAGCTTCTTTACTGCATAATCTTTTTGTTAGCACTGTACAAACGCCCCTTCCCCAAATCCATCTCTGGATTCGCCCCTGGGTGTTGGTGCCGGAGGGAAAGAGAAGGGGGAACGAGAAGAACAATAACAGTAATAGCACCAGTAACAGTAACAGTAACAATAATACTAACTGTTCAAAATCGACGAGATTGTGGACCCTTACATGTGGTCTAATTTCAGGGTCTAGTGGCTGATATAATCCGGAATGGGGTCTGCGGAATAAGACGGCCGTTCATCCGCCTTTTCCAGGTTATGAAAACCACTACGGGTTCAGAGGAAATCTGCGGTTCTCCATAGAGATTTGTCAGCAGGTGTGCTATTTGCTCGGGATAATTGTATTGTAGTGTATTCCCTAATTTTCGGTAGCGGTTGATTAGGTAATAGCGTTGAGTGAGAAATAATATTTCTCACTCAATGGTAATAGTTATTGTCAAACCACTTTTTTTGCAACGCCAGTAAGTTGTTGGAAAATACCAACTATTTCCGAGTCCTGTAAGACTTCTGTTTCGTGATAGTTTTCATTCAAATTATCGACAAGTAATTCTGGGCCTTCATCTTCATAGCACAGCATATTTATATGGGAAGTTTGAGCTTTTGTATCTGGCTTGTGGGATGTCGGGGTGCTGTCGTAATGTATCCAACATGACATCAACCTGGGGATAATGAGCGCTTCCGCACTTAAAGGTGGCACGTGTGTTTCTCTGTGAGTCTGTGCTATTTATAATTGCGGGCACACAAAATCTATCATTACTCATCTCCTATCAACAATTTTGAAGAAATATGTCAAAAAGTGCAGAACGTTTGCATACCAACGACCACATATGGCAATATGGAATATGGATTTTGACCTGCCACTCCCACGAGTGCTACGGAAATTTGTTTTCTAATAATGAAATGACCCGCTCTTCTCTTAAAATATGAAATTTGACAATGATGCATACCATAACTCCCAAGTCTCACATCAGTGGGCGTTTGGGGTCACACAGAGTATGAAACATCACGAGAAAAAGGTTTTAAAAAATTATTTTTCACGACGGAATTTGCGAAAACAAATTTTATGATGTATTTTTAAAGGTAGCTTCGGAATAAATATGATCTTGCAAACTTATACAATATATACACTAAACAGGGTGTTACGAAATTCACGGCCACGGACTGTAGATGTAGAATCATATAGCTAGATAAAAAAGTGTATTTATGATTTTTCAATCGGATCAGTATTTTTCGAGATATAGCAGTATCAAATATCCAAAAATAATAAAAACATACAGGGTGTCCCGCATAAGAACCGACACAGGACAGGTGCATGTAGGGGTATCCAAAATATTGTAATTTAACCAAACTTACCTATACAGGGTTCCATAAATAGGGTTCCAAACTTCTGCTGCGTTTATAACTCATTAAAATAAGCCAAAAAGTTCCTATTAACATGTGTCCTAAAACGCACTCTTAGGAAGTTATATGCCCTTAAAAGGGCTCAAACAAAACTGTTTTTTTTTTCTGTTATTGACAAAACGGTCGCAAATAAATAGAAAAAAATTTATGGGTCTTACATAACTTTTTACGTTAAATAACATGGGCTACTCCGTTTTTCGACATGCAAATCATATGCGTCCCATTTAGGTTGGTGAAGGGGGTTTTCGGCCCGTAATTTTTTTTATTTCAATTTTTTTACAATTTTCTCTACAGATTTATAAAATCTTAACAATTTTACGTAAAAAATATTATCTTTGTCCAAATCGATATTTCCAATGGTTTTCGAGTAAATTGAGTTTGAAAATTACTCTGCTCTTTAAGTTATTAGGCCAAAAATTACAAAAATCTGTTTACCATGGCAAATAAAAGACTGACGTTGCCACAACGCTTAACAATTTAAGTTATTGTTTTTTTTTTCTATTTATTTGCGACCGTTTTGTCAATAACAGAAAAAAAACAGTTTTGTTTGAGCCCTTTTAAGGGCATATAACTTTCTAAGGGTGCGTTTTAGGGCACATGTTAATAGGAACTTTTTGGCTTATTTTAATGAGTTATAAACGCAGCAGAAGTTTGGAACCATATTTTAGAAACACCCTGTATACAAAGTTGCACCCCTGAGGAATTATTAGCCCCCAAAGTGGGGCCCTAAATTTCGACAAAAATTAATATCTCTGCAACAGTTTACCGTAAAAGAACCAAATTTGGTACATGATTTAAGTTTATTACTGGTCTTCTTTGACTATGATTTAAAGTTAATTGAAGCACTACAAGGTGTTCATTGGGGATGACTCACCCCTAAAATTGTCCAGTACTTTTTTTCATTGACCGAATTGAAAAATAGTGAAAAATAGTAATATTATTTTTTTACTCCTGTTAAATTTTAAAAAAACTATGGTGTTCAAGAAAAACCGTATTAACTGAAACAAGATTTTAACAGTGTTTATTAGAAAATAATCGAAAAGTCAGTAGTAGGCAATGAATTTATCTTTCAAACTTGTCAGTTAGTAATAAAATTATTTTATTTCAGCAATTCTTCCACACTTTTCCGGCCATTTTCAACAATCAGAGGCAATTGTTGAAATAAAATAATTTTATTACTAACTGACAAGTTTGAAAGATAAATTCATTGCCTACTACTGACTTTTCGATTATTTTCTAATAAACACTGTCAAAATCTTGTTTCAGTTAATACGGTTTTTCTTGAAAAGTTTTTTAAAAAACAAGAGTAAACAAATTTTTAAAATTAAATTCTGCTGTGAAGTAATATAATATTATTTTTCAATTCGGTCAATGAAAAAAAAGGTCGGTACAATTTTAGGGGTGAGTCATCCCCAATGAATACCTAGTAGTGCTTCAATTAACTTTAAATCATAGTCAAAGAAAACTAGTAATAAACCTAAATCATGTACCAAATTTGATTCTTCTGCGGTAAAGTGTTGCAGAGATATGTATTAATTTTTTAGAAATTTAAGGCCCCAGTTTGGGGGCTAATAACTCCTCAGGGGTGCAACTTTGTATATAGGTAAGTTTGGTTAAATTACAATATTTTTGACACCTCTATATGCACCGGCCCTGTGTCGGTTCTTATGCGGGACACCCTGTATAGAGTTTGAACGTTGAACGCTTGCTGTTAGACAGTACAAAATTCTCTGGGCAAATCATTGTGGGCATTATGTAAGTGTACCGAATGTCAACTTCCAACACTTAATCTTTATATGAAAGGATTATACAGGATATTCCAATT